CCCCCCCCCCCCCCCCCCCCCCCCCCCCCTCCCCACAGCTGCGCACGGACATGGACAGGGGTGACGGGCGCACCAAGTACATGCTGCGGGGGGAGGGGGCCGGCTCAGTGTTTGTCATCGACGAAAAGACCGGCAACATCCACGTCACCAAGCCGCTGGACAGGGAGGAGAAGGATGAGTACCGGCTGATTGCCACGGCGACGGACCGCCAGACGGAGCGTGCCCTGGAGCCTTCCTCCCAGTTCATCATCCGCGTGCAGGACATCAACGACAATCCGCCCATCTTCCAGGAGGGGCCCTACAGTGCCACCATACCCGAGATGGCCAACATAGGTAAAGACCGCACCCAAAAATACAGCACCCATTATGCGAGGGTAAAGAACGGGCCTAAAAGGTTTCCTGTGAGTGCCTTGCCTGTGTGATCCAGGTGGGGGCGCCACAGCCCCGTTGCGTGTGCTTCTCCCCCCCCCACACCCTGCCACTCCTGCCTCACACCACTGAGCACAGAGAGGCCATACTGATCACTGCCAGCCATGGTAATTCTCTCCTGTCCTCTCTTCCCCCTGACCTCCTGTCATCCTCTAATCCCGCTCTCTCTTTGTTCTGCTCTTTTTTCTCTCCCTCTGTTTCTCTCCACTTCCCCTATACCCTTCTCTTCTTCTCTCTATCCCTCCATACGCTGTTTCAGTTTCTCCCTTCCACTCTCGCTCTTTCTTTCCTGTCCCTGTACCCTGTTCTCTGTTTCTCTCTATTCTCCCTCTAACATTCCCCTCTCTCTTTTGGCCTCTCTGTCTCTCTCTCTCAGCTTCTCTCTCTGCCTCTTTCTCTCGGCCTCTCTCTCTGTCTCTCTCTCTCTGTCTCTCTCTCTCGGCTTCTCTCTCTGTCTCTCTCTCTCGGCCTCTCTGTCTCTCTCTGCCTCTTTCTCTCGGCCTCTCTCTCTCTCTCTCTGTCTCTCTCTATTGCTCTCTCGGGCTCTCTGCCTCTCTCTCTCGGTCTCTCTCTCTCTGTCTCTCTCTATTGCTCTCTCGGCCTCTCTGTCTCTCTCTCTCNTCTCTCTCTCTCTCTGTCTCTCTCTATTGCTCTCTCGGCCTCTCTGTCTCTCTCTCTCTGTCTCTCTCTGCCTCTTTCTCTCTGCCTCTCTCTCTCTGTCTCTCTCTCTCGGCCCCTCTCTCTCTGCCTCTCTCTCTCTGCCTCTTTCTCTCGGCCTCTCTCTCTCTCTGTCTCTCTCTCAGCCTCTCTCTCTCTCTGTCTCTCTCCCCTATTTCAGTATTCTGCTGTTTAGTTTTTCCATAACAGACCCTTTCATCCAAGGTGACTCACTCATCTTACGAAATATATATTTTTTAATTTCTTATTGCCCCCCCCCCCCCCAAGCATGTTTACTGTAGACATTCATAATAAATGATTCGCTCAAGGCAGCTCTTCCCATCACAGTGCACATCTGGCCTTGCTGGTACACATGTGGAGCCTCCGATGCACACCTGGGTTGATTGGGGCTTGGATTCGGCTGATGTGCCATTGGATCTGCTGCTGAGGCCCCCACTCCTGATATCACTGAGTGCCTTGTCTGCTCTTGAAAGTTAGGGCTGCTTTTCGAAATGGTCTGTACTTTATACAGGAAAGAAAGGACAGCTATGAACTTAAGTTACCCCGTCCTCTGTACCGAGCCATTGCTCTCGGTAACGAGGTGATGTAGGGGGCCGGGGAGTGGATTACATCTGTGAGCGATTCATTTGTCTGGACAACGCCAGGATGTTTAATCACCACCCAGAGCTGCTCCCTGTTTTCTGCCACATTTTCATACTCGTATATCAAGGAATAAGTGCACTTAATTCTCTGAGATTCATTTTAGATTTAATTTTAGGATATGAAATAATAATCGCCGTAGCGATGTCACTACCTCGAAGTCTGTAGAGATTTATATAGCTGTCGTTTTTGGTGACATACAAAGAGATTGTGTTTTTGCTTCAGTAACGTGACTCTCCATGTGAAATAATGCTCCACATGGGGCAGGAATCCGCCCACATGTGTTAGGTCTGTTTTCATCCCAGATTCAATTCCCAGACGGGCTGTTAGTGCCAGATCACAGGCAACATTGCACAGGGTAACTTCCTCATGCAGTTTAAATATTTTGTATTATTATACAATCACGTCAGCATGGATAAACCTTGGGGTTCAGATAATCAAATGCAATTCAAATTCAAATTAAATTTGAATTAAATTCGAATTCAATTCAAATTCTATTCTTTGCACAGCCTTCTCGCAGACTACAGAATGGCAAAGTTCACAACAGTACAGTTCAATCAAAACAATAACTATATAAAAATAGTTTTGCAGTGCATCTCCAGACTCAAACTACCCCCCTCTTTCGTGCTTCCTCGAGTCACTTTCTTTTCTTCTCTTTCTGTGACACAGCCAATGCTTTGATGTGAGAAAGCAACAGCTGCTCCGCAAATCCACTGTCCCCTCTGAGATGCCAAGCAGTGACTCATGGGAAATGTAGTTTCCATTTTCACTGATTATCTTTTTTTCATTGTTTTTTTTTCCAGTTTTGAGGCTGGTAGCCTTTGATTCATTGGGAAAGCCTGATTTGTTTGGGAAGCTTGGAAAGAAACAAGAGGCTGTTTTCTACAGCAGGACTGGCCGCTAACTGGGGGTGGATGTGAGGATGGGGAATGATGAGGGGGCGCCAGGGAAAGAAAAAAAAGGGTGTAAAAGTTAAAATGTATATCTACAGATATACCAGCAGAAGGGGGCCAGGGAAGGTGGAAAAAGAAGAATAGAGTGAGGCAGATGGAACAGGCTAACAGAGGGTTGGAAAAGGAGGCACAGATTGAAGTGAGAAGAACGAAAAAGAGAGGAGGATGAGTGGAGTGGGAGTAAGAGCGGGGTGATCAAGGATCCTGGTCACAACTGATAGACCCAAAGTGGGTAGGAGAGAGATTGGATGATGGTATGATGGAGAGAGAGTCAGTGTTGCCGTTGGTTACGCCATGTCTCTTGCTGCAGTTGCTGTAGCTTGAACCTACGGCTGCTGGCTCACTGGGGGCGGTTTTATGAATGCTACACTGCCCGTGGCTAGCCATGTGCGACTCGCCTCTCTCTCTCCCAGCCAGCCCTCCACATCAGCAGGCTCCCTCATACTCCATGGCGCCCCCAGCTGTTTTTTTTCGGCACAAACATCCAGTTCTCCCGGTGCTGCGAAAACACCTTATTTGTAAGTTCTTTTAACAGAAGCGAAACTTTGGCAGATGGGCAGAGTTTGGAAGAGCAGTCATTTCCCTGCGCGTGAGTAGAGATGCCACATGCCGTATAAGGCGACCTGTCGGCGTGACAACGGTGGGGACGCCGCCCCTCCCTCCTTCCTGCTTCCTGGATGGCTTCATCAGCCTCTTGGCGCTGTCTCCGTGCAGCTTGACATCCCCGGAGCTGCCCCGCTAGGCCTGCATATCTGCGTCTAAAACACGGCATGCTGGGAAGGGTGCGTCGCCTGTCTCGAAGGGGGGCAGGCGGGCGGCGGGCCAGTTCACAGCAGACACTGCACATAAACAGCCACACTGGCAGTGTTCACTTCACTGTGCTCCATTCTGGCTTTACATTAACCCGGTTCTGCTCTGTACCACTGCCAGAATGGATTTCGTTTATCGGCAGGATGTGCCACACACCCCTCGCAGGTGACTGCTTTGTCAGGCGCTCGCCCCCGGAGCACTACAGGATCCGGTTACCAATCCCAAGATCCCCTTCGTGAGAAAGAAGGGTCGTTAAACTTATGGGCAGAGTTTAAAAACCCGCAGTTCAGCAATGCTTTTAAGTCTTTGTTTCTGATAAATTTTACAGATCCCAGTATGTAATTAGTCATCAGTCACGGCAATGTGGTTGGAGAAAGGAAAAAAAAACATACAAATGCTAAAAAATTTAAAGTTAACTATGCAGCAAATTCGAACATAATTGAGTTATGTGGTAGACAGTCTCCGAGGTCCGTGTCTAGCTGCAGTTGTCTTTGCCGTGCTGTTTATATTCTGCTAGGCTCCAGCTCACGGCTGTAGGAGTGTAACCCAAAGACAGATTTAAATGAGAGCAAACAGGCATGGAGAGTGATTGGATAATGAACGAGGAAGCGGAACGTGACTGCCCGGATGCCGGCAGGCATTGTGCATCTTCGCTATACCGCTGTCAGGTAGATCTACCCACATCCTTTTGCTGCCTTTCCCAGACTTACAATTAATGACTCACTGTTCACTTTTCAGTGCTGAGCTAAACTTTGATGACTTAATGCATTTCGCTGAATGGTGAGAGAGGTTAGGGATACGTGGAAGCCGCCTGTATGCATGTAGTATTCGGTCAGTGACCGTTCCTGTCCTCGTCGGACATGTTTATCGTCTTTATCATCGTGTCCCCCCCAAAGCTTCGCCAGGGACGTGTGTCACTGTCACTAACCCTAGCCCCCTCCTTCCCTATTTAGGTTGCCCCCTACTGTGAAGGTGGGGGTGTGTACAGATGTGGGATCACAGGGACACTCTCCCCAGCTGAAAGCTGACTGCCCCCCGAGTGCCCCCTCCCCGCCCCCACAGTGTCAGTGAAATATATCCCCTCTTATGTCCCCCAGCTTAAATAATCCATACAGAAATGCCTGTGTGTGAAGGAGAAGGATACTTCTTCACCTGGGGGGGGGGAGTCCTGTCCTTTTTCTGAGTACTTTGTATTTACACCTTGGGTCACATAAAATAATCTCAGTTGAAAGCTTTAGAATAGGAAAATATATTAAAATAATAATAACTGTAAGTCTTCTTAAAATGAACTTTATATGATACATTTTTTAGTATATTTAGGTTGTAACTTCAGCATTTTCATGATATGTGAAGATGTTCAAATCAATAACATATAACTGAAAGCGTAATATAAAAGACAAACGGCAGTATAGAAACACAAGGGAAGGTCTTTAATAATGCATGAACAGCAGGTTTGCTGGAATCTCCCTTTCTTGGCATTTCTGGCATGTGGGGAGCCTGAATGGTTTGATAAGTGCCCTCGTTTGTCCTGCTGTGGTCATTCGGAATGAGTAACAAAACAAACAAGTAAGCAAACAGACGAAGACGAGCAGCTCTTGTAAGGCACACGGTGCACACAGATCTGTTTATCGGACTTGCATGCCAAGCCAGCTCGTATAGCTACAAAATGCAATTACCAGCCACACCAGAGTGATTTATAGACGCAGTGAATGTTTTCTAATAATAAATGTAGTGTGTTGTTTAGACGCGTATTTAAAGTATATTTTTGTACAGGTGAGGTTGATATTTATGGTGTGATTATAATGATAAATAAGCTGTTAAGGTCAGACATGCTCAGCTAGCTAATCCTAGACTGGTCACTCCCTTTGTCATTTTATGTCAAATTTGTTGTTTGAACACTATAACACTATTAGAATCCAATGTGTCAATCAGATACTAATTAAAATTCATACTGGGTGAACAGAGCCCCCGGAGGCAGAGGAGGGCTCTACAATCTGTTTCACTTTATTTCAGTTGTCATCTCAGCTTTTGCAGATCGTGTATCAATACCTGTATAGCAGGGGTGTCAGACTGCAGTCCTGGGGGGTCGCAGCCCTGTTTAGCTTAGTTCTTTCCCTGTTCCACCATAAATGATTGGTAATTAGCACAAGAAGTTGAATCAGGTGTATTAAACGAGGGGAAACCCAAAAATGTGCAGGACTCCGGCCCCCCAGGACTGGAGTCTGACACCTGTGCTGTATAGGTTCAGATGTCTTGAAAATGACAAGTATATCTGGGATGCAGCTCATTTTTCTGTCTTTGATTCAGGGTTTGGGGGAGGGGGGTGGGCATTGAAAGGTTGAATGCCCTGCTTGCCTCTCCTCCCCAGTGACTGGTCCTGTGGGGTCAGACGCTCCGCTGAATTCACACTCTCATCACTGCAGCCTACTGTTTTTCAGGTACATCCATCATCCAGGTGACAGCAACAGACGCAGACGACCCCACCTACGGAAATAGTGCCAGGCTGGTGTACACACTCACCCAGGGCCAGGAGTACTTCTCTGTGGATCCACAAACTGGTCAGGCTCCGCCTCTTCCTCTGTCTGTATTTGACTCTCTGGTCAGGCTCTGCCTCTTCCTCTGTCTGTATTTGACTCTCTGGTCAGGCTCTGCCTCTTTCTTTTTCTGTATTTGGTCTTTGTCTCTAATCAACCCTGTTATCAGGCCCCCTTCTTCCTGTGTCGGTATATGACCCTATGATCAGGCTCTACCTCTTCATCTAGCTATATACCACCCTCTGGCTTTCTGCACCTAATTGTACCTCGAGGTTCAATTCGAATTCAGAGCATGTTTTGTTAAATTAAGCACAGGATCGTTCATGTTTGCCAAAGCAAAACAGCACGCCGGATTGATTTCCTCCGGCCCTGTGCTTGTTTGCATTATCAAGGCTGATATTACTGTTCCGCATGTGAGTAACCGCGCGACGTCCCATTTCCAACCCCCACAGGCATCCTCCGTACGGCTGTGCCCGACATGGACCGCGAGACCCAGGACCAGTACCTGGTGGTGCTGCAGGCCAAGGATATGGGGGGTCACCTGGGTGGGCTGTCGGGGACGACCACAGTGACAGTGTGGCTGAGCGACGTGAACGACAACCCTCCCCGCTTCACTCAGAGTGAGTGCTGCTTTAGCTGCTGCTCTGGGGGGGGGGGTGGTCTGTGCTAAATCTGCTTTATTTTTCGTTCACTAACATTTAGCTCAGACTACCTTAAATCCGATGCTTCATGGAACACTGCCCTGCTCTCAGTGATATCATGTATATTTTGCCTGAAGCTGTTGTATAGGTGACTTATACAGCGTCCATTTGGTTGAAGCTTCCACATAGTTGACTTAGAGAAGGTTCATTAGACGAATGCTTTTTATAGGTGACAACATCCATTTGGCTGAAGTTTTCATGAAGTTGACTTACTACTGGTCAACTTGGCTGAAGCTTTTATATATGTGACTTATACAGCATTTAGTTAGCTGAAACTTTTATATAATTGACCTACGAAGGGGTATTTTACTTACAGAGGATGCAGTTGGCTGAAGCTTTCGTATAATTAAGGTGTGATGGGTCCAGCTGACTGAAGCTTTTATGTATGTGGTATATACAGTATCTGGTTGGCTGAAAGCTTTAATGCACTCGACTTACAGAATATGCAGCTGACTGAAGCCTTCATATAATGGACTTACTGAGAGGGTCCAGTAGGCTGAAGCTTTTATATAGGTGACTTATGTGGCATCCACATGCATGCAAACGAGCATGCATGCAAACGAACATGCATGCAAACGAACATGCATGCAAACGAACATGCATGCAAACGAACATGCATGCAAACGAACAGACTCTCAGAGACAGCCACTGCTAAATGACAAGCAGGAAAATTGACTTTTTGAAGGACAGCCATGCAGAGCAGCAGGTGAAACATCTCCTAAGACCACAGAGAGACGACAGGAAGAGGGTCAAGCTGGCTTTGGTCGGGAGTATTGTTCATTCATTTCCTTGGGGGCTGATAGAGGAGTAATCTCGTATGGACGATTATTTAATTTGTTGCATGAGACAGAGAGAGAGACTGGGAGAAGGAGAGAGAGTATGATAAACAGTACTATGTCCTTTGGGGGAGTGTGTGAAGAAGGCCGAGGACAACGGAGGATAGAGTGAGGGACGAGCTGGATGTAGGGAGGCCTTGAGTGTGTGTCAGTAGGGTTTGCTAACTTTGTGCTGGAATAATTTGGAGAGAAGTCCCCACAAAGTGAGTGCCTTATTTCCGTGGCTTCCTGCTTTAAAAACATTAAACTTTAAGTCACATTTCGCCACATTTATTATCAGTTTTCAACAGTTTTGTTGGGGTTGTGAATTATTAACTCCTTTAAAATGAGAGAGAAGGAGAACTTTCCTTCAGACAAAAATATAATTATCTGTGTGTCTGTATTTCGGCGTGCTGGCGAGTGTGTTTCTGCAGTCCGTGTGTGTGTGGTGTGAGTGAGACAGGGAGAGAGACACAGTGCACGTGTGTCAGAGATGTGTACCTGATTATCTGCATGTCGCATCTGTGTGTGTGTACATACTTTAGGAGGAGAGTTCTGTGTGACGAAATGAGATTCTCGCTTCTGATTAGATTAAGCCACAGGGAATTTGATCTGAAAAGTGAAGGAGAGTGAAAGCGGAGCCTCTCGGTTTGTACACACACACACACACACACACACACAGTCATATAGACTCGACCTCATTTCAGCAGCAGCAGCAGATGCCAGCGGTACCTTCCCCCTCTATCACCCCC